AAAAAGAACATTACACGTTAGCTCGAAGATATGAATTTTATGTTCTCGTGGCAAGAACAACATCTCACGAGTGAGCGCAGTGAACGAGTGAGATATAGTTCTTGCCACTCCAACATAAAATTCATATCTTCTCGCCACCGTCTAATATCTTCTATAGCGTATATTTTACCTTTTACCATTTTAGTAGTTGGTGCAGGTGTTGTGGTTTCTGTTAACCAAGAAGAAAAGAGATAAAATTATAATAGCTTCAGCAAGCTCCCCATTTATTTCTACGTGCAGAAAGACATACTTACGATTTCTCGCCTTAATGATGAAATGCAACCATGATCTATCCTCTTAAACTCATTGTCATGATCTGTGGTGTTGATTACATTTTTTTGTAATAGCTCTCTGGTCAGGTCGCTACCGCATATTACTCGTAGTGCCACTACAAATAATATTGCTTTGTAGAATATCTTTGTAGAAGTGTGGTTCTTAATACAAAATGTGTTTAATCAGCTTTTTGTCATACACTTAAACAATACTTCGCATTTTTTTTCCAAATTCTTAAAGATGAAAATGTTCCATCCCCGAGAAAACAACAGGTGTCATGTTACACCTCTACAGGGTACCTCCCCATAACGGCCACCTCTCTACAACGGCCACTTTCCCTTGTCCCTAAGGTAGCCGTTGTTGAGAGGTTTGACTGTACAGAAATCATTTGGAAGAATCAGAATGCGACCTAAGTTGCCCTCTCACCTGGCTCAGTTGTTGTAACAGAGCTTGTAACAGGCGGAGTTGTTGGCACTGAAATATAGCATGCAATGAGATCATTACAGTTAGCAGCGATTCTTTGATCGTGGGTGATGTGAAATAACAACTGCAAAACCTTGTTGATACCATACCTTGCCCATTTCCACAGTAGCCAAGGTTGCACGTTACTGTTGGAGAAAGGTAATACACATAGAAGGCACCACAGTTGCGCACTAGGACTGAATTCCGCCAAGAACAACAGCTTCTCCAGTGAAAACATACATCACGTCTAACCGCCCCTTCGTGCACTGCAGGATGAGGTCCGCTAAACCATCCTGGAGCATGAGTCCCACAGTGTCTCACCGGGACACATGTGGTCGGCATCATATTCCCAGCAGGCCCCGCGAACCTGTACCAGCCTCGTGGTAATTTATCATCACACAGTGACCCCGGCTTGTCGTTGTTTGCAGATCGATTGATTGCCGTAAATGTGACGTAACTTTGACACTCTGTAAGTGCCAACAAAAATAGGCGAGGTAATTAGCCATGAACATGTTAGGTAAATAACTCTCCTAAATAGCGGTACGGTACTAGGAGCCCAGTTCATATAAATGTCTTATATGTATTTACTGACTCATCTAATCAACCTGCGGGTTATTATAACATGCAGTTGGTCTGCCCTTAACGTATCAAGGCTTCATCGGCCACTTGCTACACCAACACACCGACGTTTGGGAGGTCATGGGTTTCGAATCCAGTCAAAATTTTGAATATTATTTTGCGTATGTTTTTGTTCAGGTTAGAACGGAATGGCTTAAATTGCTTGTACACTGCAAGGGTGATTCAATTCATTTCAGCAGTAAAAGACACCAGACACATTCAGATGTATTTGCGAATTTACCTGGTGGTATAGTTGGTGGCTCTGTACTCGGGAGTGATGTTGTAGGTTCTGAAAATTGACATATAACTGAAAATGATTAAGAAGTTATGAAGAACCAATCCTCTCGTTCAGAAATGTATAAAAACAATAAAAGGAAAGAAAGAAGAAACTGATCCAGCGAAAGTAATGCTGTACGCCGTTTGGGTTAATTTTCTATGCGTGAGACTGAAGATAGACATTTAATTTAGGAAGCAAAGAAGTAAGAGTGAATAATTGGCCTCACACATTGAGACACTGAAGACACTTCTTTATCATGTGACCACGATTGCAAGTAAGTTCAAAAAGACGAGACGGTCGTTATCATGAAACAAAAATCGCTTGGGAATGTAAAAAATAGTGGAAGTTCATATTTGGGTGTAACCCTACTATTATGCATTTTGTGAATTATCTCATTACCAGGCGGAGAAGTTGTGGCTGCTATAGTGGACACAGTCACTTGAGGGCCTGAAAAAATAGAATTTTAAAATAATAATGAATGGAAACAGACAAGCAAACAAACACACACACAAAATCATTCTGTCATTTTTTTTAAAATCCTCTTTTGTTGTCGTTGTGTCGTTATTTTTTCTTTCTTTGAGTAAAGTAATTAAATAAAACACTGTTAGTAAAGAAATAAACACCTTGAACACCTAGCAAGAGAATTTGAACATGGACATTTATATTGCCTCAGCCATGCTTTTTTCTGGTTACGGCCCTGGTAAACGAACACTATTTTATAATGTTGCGCTCCTGGATCTGATTAACTACGTTAAAAACCTACTTTGGGGTATGATCTTAAACACCAGGTTCTCTCCTCTGCCTCCCAAGCCACCGAAACAGCCGGCTGAATCTCCATCGCTGTTGTAAGTTTCTGCAGCATCTTTACCACTTCTACAATGTCCAAATGACTGAAGACCAAACACTGTATAACCTTTCTCACTCGCGAGTCTAGCGCATTTTCTAGTGACTTTGCTCGGATCATACCAGTCCACCTCACCAGTTAAATCCGCTAACAGTTCCGGCAGTGGTCTGGGATCGACTTGGTTGTCTTTGAAGCATCCAACTTCTTCGTAAGAAATTTGCTGTTGATCTAAATTTAATGGTAATAGAAAATTCTGTCTGATAATTACGTTTGTGAAGGTGAAGCAGAAGCATGAACTGGCCTGTGATACTAGCCACAATTTAGAGTCTTTAGGTAAAAAAAACTTCACAGTTTATATCTTTAAGTTTAAGCAATGCAAGTAGCCCTCATTAATTAAAAAAAAAATGTTTACCTTTCGACTAATGCATAGGATAATTGGCAATACAATTGCAATCGTGTGCACTGAGTTCTCTCCAAGTGCATTATGTGGCAAAAATGCGTAAAGATTAATACTTCTGTAGCAACACAAATATCACTCATATTCTACCGAAACTTCCGGTTCCGGTTGCTTTTGCTCATGTTAGGTTACTTTGCATGTGTTTCACATTGATGGCCTCATTTAAACCATCTCAACCTCGAGGATATATGGTAGTAATAAAAAAATACCTTGTTGAGCGTCTTCCACTGAAGCATCCAGCGATGCCAACATTCTCTGCACCTCAGGCATTGTACCTAAAACAATGAGAAATGAACAACAACTACTTAATTTAACGGGGGCGCATACACAGAGCACCTAGTGACTGACAATCCTGTGGCACTCAATAAGACTAAAACACGGGGACTGTCTCATAACCCTTTCGAACAATGTAAAGGGCTGCTTAAAGTGGCTGGCACTTTCCAGCAGTTACTGCGGTATTGTACTATACTACCACTCTTTATCAAGTGGCTTTAGAGTATGATTATCACACAAATGCCTAATCATTGGTGAACAAGTTGTAGCTGCATGTAACTTCATTGATGACATAATTGCTCACCATAGTAACAGCACAACCTGCTAAAATCCTCTTCATGTTAGCTTCATGTGCTTATGAATAAAAAACGGCTCGATGAACCACACTTTTTACTGTGTATTAACATGCTAAGAACCACCTTTTAATACGTGTCTTGTTCCTCAAACTTAAAAACAACAATGATATGCATAATTCATATGGATGCTGCTTTGGCTGAGCTCTGTTTGCTGGGTAATAAAACTCAACACTCCCAAGTGTGATATATTGGCCACAAGGTGTGGCCGTTTATTTTGATAGCAGGCTTAGAAGGAATTACAAACATACCAAGTATTAGCCCAGCAAAGGTGAGGGAGAAACCACCAGCTAATGTAGAAAATAGAGAAAATGGAGTGTGGAGGGAGAGAAAATTCCCTTCACTTACTGAGTATGCTGCACAAGAGAGATGGTGGACCACATTTAACGATATCTATATCCCGGACGACAGAAACTGCCCCAACCAAGTACTGGGTTTAGTTAGGTCACAAGCTACATAAAATCATTTATTTTGGTAAAATAAATTCCCTTTTTGCAAAGTTTAAAACAAATCTGCCGAGAGGATTCAGAGTCACCTTAAATTTCCAAAAATTAACCTATTATTTAGAGTCATCAGAAAATGACATCGCGCATTTCTCTATGGATAATACATGTATCTCACCATATTTCTCAGTATCATCACGGTCTTCACTAGTTGTCGTCAGTTCCTCATTATTTTCTATCCTTTCCAGCTCGTCTGTGATATCTACAAGAAGACGTGCAATAAAAGTTATATTCAACGGCTTTGAGGACCAGGGTGAATGGCTAAATAATACAAATTAAACAGAACGCATGTAAATTGTCGGAGAGTTTCATTTTCCTCACTGCCCATGGCCAACTCGTGTTCCAAATCTTTCTTTTCAACTTAAAAAAAATATATAGTTCTTTTACACAAGGCTTTATACCTTTCGCAGACGTATGGCAATGGGATTACAATTACTTAGTTCCCAAATTTTAAACCGTGGCCTTTATTACAGATAACTTCAAAGAGACTAATAAAGTGGGCTTAGAATATATATTTCCTGTCATTGTGGAAGCTGACTTCCATCTTCCTACTATCCTCCCCTTACGCCGAAGAAGGTGCACTTAATGTAATGGTAACATTGTTTTGCATGCACTCTTTTGGTCACCATGCTGAAATATGTTGCAAGATGTTAGATGTTGCTAGTGCAGCATTGTTGCAATATGCTATGTCCGTTACGTTCAGTTGGGCTTTGGAAAGGCACCTTCTTGGTTGTTAAAGTCCTCCAATGATTCCAAAAGTGTGCTGATGTCGCTAGTTGTCGCTATCGGAAAAATACAGAAGCACAAACGTGTCACTTAGTTGTTCTGTACGGGTCCGCAAATGATCCCAG